GTTGTTTGGGGGATGTGTAATTTTTAAATGAATGTTATTTTGAAATAATTTGTCTTTAGTCCTTTTTAAAGTTATTTGGATATTTAATTCTTTACGTTTTGTATGTTTTTGGGGGTATTTTTTGGGTGGGTAACCGTATTTTTTGGAGTTTCAGGAGGGTTTTTTGTATAAGGTGATTTTGGAGATTCAATTTTTTTTTTGGTTATTAATGTATGGCAATTCATGAAAAAGGAGATTTAATTTTCTTGGTATTAAAGGTTTTTTTTCTTCAGGGGATGATATCAAGGTACCCGTAAACTTTCCCAGTTTGGAAATTTAAACGGGGAAATCCCAAGGGGTAAGATTTCAAAGGGGTGTTAGAAGGGTTTTTAAAATGTTCAATATATTTAATTTTTAATTTTTTATTTTTTAAGAGGTTTATTTTATTTAAAAATGTTTTTTTATCCTTTCTGGTTTCCCGGGAGCCAATGCTGCGCTTTTACTATTTATGGTTCCAAGACTGTCGGTGTTATCCACCCCAGATTTTTCTTTGAGTGAAGTTTGCATTTTTGGCCACCTCCCTATCCTGTCTTTTTTTTCTTTGTCCCCTTCCTCATTTTCATCAGTAGATGGGAGTGCGAGGGAGTATAAGTAACAATAGTTTCTTGCGGTATTTTAAGGTGGGGAAAGTCAAACTCCCTATTCCGCCTTTTTCCCCCCCCCCAAAAGTGATAGTTTGATGCCGGCTGTTTTTAAAGGGTAGGGTCGTCTAGCTGGGCTATCCTTCCCTCCTTTTTCCCCCCCCACCCCGAAAGGGTGACGTGGGGGGCCCCGGTACAAAAGAATACTAAAATACAGGCCCCAGCATACAGTAAGTAATGTCCCCTTGTTTTCAGTGGATTTTTTGGTTAAAAGCTTCACTTTTGCCCAATAAAAAACTTAGTCCTTTCAGTCTTGCCTAAGTTGACTGTTGAACAATTCCACATCTTTTAGGTATTGTACTTTCATGGAGATGATTTCTTAAGCGTGGGTAACCGTCATCTTTCCAGCTTGGATGACAGAAGGGCCCTCCCAATCAACGGTAGAACTGTGGAGAGGGACTAACCCCCTGCCCTTTCCCCCTTTTTTGGGTTTTAATTACTTCCCACCTGTTAAAATTGCAGGACGTCCCCCTCATCATTGCAGTAGAAAAGAACCTGCTTTTTATGGGGATAGAAAACTAAGGCACACTGTGAAAAAACTACCAGGGGTTTTGTAACCAAACCGTGACCCCCCCCCATCATCGGCAACGGCTACGATTTCAAAAAGCTTTTCCCCAACCCCAGACCCCCAATTTTTTATATTACGTTGAATTCTTTTTATTTTTTATATTTTTCTTTTTCATTTCTTTAATGTAGGATTAATATTTCATTTTTTAAGTGTTTTTATTTTTATTTTTTTTAAAATAAATGTTTATTTTTTGTCTTTATTATTTCTTTTTTATTCACAAAATTTTTCCTGGGGAGGAGCCAGCCTTGGTAATTTTTGTCTAAATTTGTTACTGGGTGAGTAAGCCTTCACATGACTTTGCTTTGGCAGGTTTTAAATTCGAGAACCCTTTGCGGACCAGGTTTCCATCTGTCCAGCTCTTGAAGTCCTGCCTGGTCCCATCTGATTTAATTCCCCCTCTTTAACTTCACATCATCTGCAAACAAGGACACTTTTGAGTCAAATCCTTCCATCATGCGTTCCTAAAACCCAAAAATAGCGTGGCCTGGTCCGCCCCCTTTGGGGGACCCCGCTCGTACAGGTGCCCCCCTGTGAAAACATTTCTTTTCCATGGGTCGGGGTTTTGCCTCCGTAGGTATTCTTGATCCTTTCAGTGCCCCCCTGTTTATTGCCCCGACCCCTTTGCTTTGCCAAAAATCTTGTGAGGAACTGGTCAAAAGGGCCTTTTTGCAGTCCAAGAAGATGCAATCAACCCCCCCCCCCTCTCGTGTCTTACTTTGTTACTTTATCATAAAAATTTAGAAGGTTTTTGACAGAGGATTTGCCTTCCATGAATTCGAGCTGGTTTGGGTTTTTTCTCTTGGGGGCTCGGTGGCCTGGTGGGTTTTAAAGCTTAGCTTTACACGGCGAGGGGTGGGTTCATTCCCAGCCAGAGTAGAAACATTGGGGTGTTTTTTTTCCCCCTGTTGTTATGTTCCCCCTCAGTAAAATGGGTACCGGGTGTTAGTCGATGGTGTGGGTCCATCCGGGCACGACCTAAATTTGCCCAAAATGCGGAGCATAACAAGGGATTCTATATAGTAGTATGCATTGTTAACATAGGAGTATACCCGTACATGTACTTGTAGTAAAATAAAAAATATACATATTAAAATATTATTAATATATATATATATATAATATATATATTCCGGGGCCCACCCCCTCTCCCCCTGATAATCTTTCCATAACCTTGAACTAACCGTCAATGACACAGGTCTATAGTTTGTGCCTCTTTTCTGTCTCCTTTTTTATAAATGGGAACTACATTTGCCATCTTCCATACCTCAGGTAGTTGCCAAGTTTCCAGGCACATGTTGAATATTGTGGTAAGTGGCACGCACAGCATATCTGCTCCCTCTCTAAGGATCCATGGGGAGATGTTGTCCGGTCCCATTGCCTTTGAGGTATCGATGTCCCTTAGCAGTTTCTTCACCTCCTCCTCTTCTGTATGTATGTCGTCCAACACTTGTTGGTGTATTCCTTGCTGGTGTTCCCATCTGGGCTGTCTCCCCAGAGGCCTTCCTGTCTCGACTGTAAATACTTCCTTAAATCTCATGTTGAGCTCCTCACATACCTCTTGATCGTTTCTTGTGAGTTCTCCACCTTCTTTCCTCAGAGTTATCACATGGTCCTTGACTGTTGTCTTCCTCCTAATGTGGCTATACAGCAGTTTCGGGTCAGATTTGACTTTCGATGCTATGTCGTTTTCGTACTGTCGCTGGGCCTCCCTCCTTATCTGACTGAACTGCTCAGGGCGAACACAAGATCCAGTCTTGCTGGCTCATCCTCCCCTCTCTCTCTGGTAGTATTCCTGACATGTTGATGCATGAGGTTTTCAAGTACCACATCCATCATCTTGGCTCTCCATGTTTCGGGACCCCCATGTGGTTCCAGGTGTTCCCAGTCGATCTCCCTGTAGTTGAAATCGCCCATTACCAGAAACTTTGCTCTGCTCGAGTGAGCTCTTCTTGCCACCTCAGCCAGTGTGTCCACCATCACCCTGTTGTTTTCTTCGTACTCCTCTCTTGGCCTCCTGCAGGAGGGCTGAATTGTACCTACAATGTAGTCTCTTTCTCCAATCATGTCCATGCCTTCCATTTCCTCAAATACCCATCGGTGTTTTATGAGCAGTGCAATCCCTCCTCCCCCTCTACTCCTTCTATCTTTCCTCAGGATCTGATATCTCGTTGGGAAGATTGTGTCTGTTATTGTCTCAGCGAGTTTTGTTTCTGTGACTGCTATGATGCCTGGGGATTTCTCACTGATTCTTTCGTTCCACTCCTCATGTTTATTCGTTATTGCATCAGCGTTTGTGTACCATCCTTTCAGTTTCTTTTCTATCATTGTGGTCCTGCCAGAATATTGGGGTTGGGGGAGCTAGAGCCTTGGCGGGGGCCTAATGCGGGCTGTGGTGTAGGTGGGGTTTGTGATGATGGGGGTGGGGTCAGAATGCCCATAAGGGACAGCTGTTGGGGTGAGGTTTGTGATATGGGGGTTGGTGGCAGAGGGAACAGTGAGTGGGTTGTAGTATAGGTTGCTCAGTTGCGTTGGGAATGTCGCGGTTGGAGTCTTTCGGTGGGAGATTCTGTGTGTGTTGGTAAACATGTTATGGAGTTGGTGAGCGTGATGTTTTTTGTGGATATTATTTAGACAAGGGAAAGTTATATGTTTGAGAGTAGTATTACTCAGACAGATGACCTGGAACCTGACGGTTGTACAAACATGAACCAATTGTTGGGTAGTGAGATGTTTTGGTGTTGTGAAATGTTGAGGGTTATGAGTTGAAAGCATAGCGCTTCCCCTGGATTAAAATAATAATGGATTCAAGATGGGTATGGAGAGGATTTTATTAGAGTTTTAGAGATTTAGGGAGATGGTGCAAGGAGGTGGAGATTGTCAGTTCAGGAGGTGACTCTGATCTTATCTGAGGTAACTCAGATATGGAGATGGGGAAGGTGATCTTGACCCGAGGAGGTGAAGCTGGGATTTTGGGGAGATGAAAGTGGATGGTGAGAGGTGTGGGTGAGATGGAGAGGGAGGTCTTGATCCGAGGAAGTGGAGGGTAAGGTCAAATCTTTTTTATTGCATTACTGTTATCGAGGAAAATGCATCTACCGTGGAGTAAATTTTGATCCGAGGAGATGGAACAATGATGTAAAAACTTATTCTTGAGAGAAATTTTAGGGTAACTGAAATCTTTTTGTATGTATTATTGATATCAAGAAAAAAAATCGAGGTACAATTTGGTCCATTGAATTGGAGGGTGACACAAATAATTTGAAAAGCGTTAAAATTTCTAAGATTTCCTCCAAAATTCGAAAAAAATAGTATCATTCTCGATAAGTCGGTAAAATTCCAAATTTTGAAAAATAACTGGAAATTTGGAAGCATTCTCGATAAAGTGGGTAAATCTGGCAACCCTGTAAAATTTTGGAAAAGTTGGTAAAATTGGTCCTTAGAGGGTGAGGGGGGTCAAGTCAAGGGGAGAAGCAAAAATTTATCTCTGACCCCCATAGGGAGACCTTCAAAAATTATGAAATTCAAAAAATAAGTTTAAAAAAAATCGAAAATTCGAGGAGAGGGGGTGATCCAGGTGGGGATGTAGCAGAAGGTGCTGGAGAAGGAAAATGATGCCAGGGGTGTGGGACACGGTGGGTTCAGTGGGGATGCAGGGTGGGGGCATGGATGGGGGGCTTGGGCAAGGCACAGCAGGGTGGGAAAGCAGGACTGGAAGTTGGAGTTCTTTGCCGCATGCTGCTGATCCACCAAGTCTAGAATGAGGATCTCTGCCATGAGGAGCTGAGCCAAGTCTGGAGTGAGGATCTCTCCCATGAGGAACTGAGCCACATTTCAAGAGTGAGGATCTCTGCCACGAGTAGCTGAGCCGCCAAGTCTGGAATGAGGATTTCTGCCACAAGGAGCTGGAAAGAGGATCTCTGCCATAGGAACTGAGCTACCAAATTTGGAGTGAGGATCTGTGCCACAAGGAGCTGAGCCACAAAGTCCACTACTCACATTTTCTCTGAATTCTGAGATTTAACAGAAGATGACTTGTGTGCACCAAGTTTGCCTTTTCTGCTAAACACTGTCTGTACACACACACACACACACACACACACACACACACACACACACACACACACACACACACACAACACACACATACACACACACACACACACACACACAAAGCAGTATTGCTAAATAGTGCTCCCAGGATTTAGTGTTCTAGTAGCTGTCCTAAGATATTATTAGCGGTCATCGTACGTGAGTGAATCAGTGAACATACCTACAAGAGTGTAACAGCTTTCAAGAGTGCGAATAATGTGATAAGATCAAGAATTTTACAATTTAAATTTGAGTGAATGCTGAGGGAGAGTAACAGTCAGCTGATGAGGCTGCTGGCACCAGTGTTGACACAAAATATCCAAACATGGTTAATTGGGTTAACGGTGTGATCTAAAATATTAATAAATACACATATTGGTCGGTTATAGCAGCAGTGTAGCGATTATTATTATTATTATAATCAAAAAGAAGCGCTAAGTGTAGGGATAAGGTCATAAAAGAGTGATTAAGTAAATACTGAAAGTAAGAACAAATTAGTCAATCCCCAGCTGTTGGTGTTGTGAATGTAGTTAATATCATCAGATTTGTTATGACCATAATACTGTACTAAAGAAAAAAGAGTGAATACCAAGTCTTAAAAGAAAAAGAAAATAAAAACTTGAATGCATGATAAAGTTCCTGAAAGAGTTACAAAGTGAAGGAGTTGATAGCAGCCGACCAGCAGGAACCTCCACTGTGCAGACATCACTTGCCTATGTGTGGTTAGTTTTTGGTTGGTGTCTAAAGTCTCAGTGTCTCGCCCTGCTGGTTGTATGCTATACCATCACTCTCTCCCTAACTTTCACTGCCAGCAGATAGATAGGGGTAACCCTGATAATGTTTAGTAAATTATCTAAATATCTTCAGAAGAGTTGTGTAGCCTAGTGACACCCCCCTTCCATCTTTCTGACAGCAACAAGCTAGGAAACGAGTACACACATACAAACACACGTGTTCAGCAGCATTTATTATTATAGTAAATATTAAGGAATTGAGTGAGAAATAGTTCTATAATCTTCAAAAAAGTAACTTAGCCTAGTGTGCAAAGATCCGGGCCGGGAGAGTACCGGTGAACCAAGAACAACAAAGATTCGGGCCGGGAGAGTACCGGTGAACCAAGAACAACAAAGATCTGGGCCGGGAGAGTACCGGTGAACCAAGAACAACAAAGATCCGGCCCGGGAGAGTACCGGTGAACCAAGAACAACAAAGATCCGGGCTGGGAGAGTACTGGTGAACCAACAACAACAAAGATCCGGGCCGGGAGAGTACCAGTGAACCAACAACAACAAAGATCTGGGGCGGGAGAGTACCAGTGAACCAACAACAACAAAGATCCGGGCCGGGAGAGTACCAGTGAACCAACAACAACAAAGATCCGGGCTGGGAGAGTACCAGTGAGCCAACAACAACAAAGATTCGGGCCAGGAGAGTACTGGTGAACCAACAACAACAAAGATCCGGGCCGGGACAGTACTGGTGAACCAACAACAACAAAGATCCGGGCCAGGAGAGTACCAGTGAACCAAGAACAACAACAATAGTGTGTTAACGTGACCCCCCCCCCCTCTTTTTCAAATAACGACAAGCTAGTAAACACACACACAAACACAAGTGTACACAGTAAATATTATAGTAGTATATATTAGTGTATATTAATAAGGAATTGGTTGTGAAATAATTCTATAATCTTCTAAAGAGTAGCATAGCCTTGTGTGATATATGAACCCCCCCTTTTTTTAGACTAAGACAAAAGTGCATGTGCACGCACACGAACACACACACATACACACCCATACACATGCATACACATACACATACACACATACACATACACACACATACACACACACACACATACATACACACACACACACACACACACACACACACACACACACACATACACTCTCTCTCTCTCTCTCTCTCTCTCTCTTGCTCTCTCTTGCTCTCTCTTCCCCATTTTCCCTTCTCACTCTCCCCCTCTCCTACCCTTCCCTTCACTCTCTCTCCCCCTCTCTCTCTCACTCTCACTCTCACTCTCTCTTCCCCTTTTTCCTTCTCACTATCCCCCTCTCTCTTTCTCACCTTTTCCTTCTCTCTCTCTCTCTCTCTCTCTCTCTCTCTCTCTCTCTCTCTCTCCATCTCTTCCCCATTTTTCCCTTCTCACTCTCCCCTCTCCTTCCCTTCCCTTCTCTCTCTTTCCCCCTCTCACACTCTCTCTCCCCCTTTCCCTTCTCACTCTTCCCCTCTCTCTCCTTCTACCTTTCCCTTCTCTCTTCTCTCACAAAAAAAAAAAATGGTGGGGACTCACAGGAACCAAGGATCAGATGAAAATGGTTCTGGTAGGGAGGAGTGGATGGAGGAGCAGTGGAAAGGATGGAACAAGAGTGGGAGAGAAAATTAGGAGAGCTTTCTGAAAAAATGGAGAAAGAGCTGTCTGTGAAATTGGAAAAGAGGTTGGAGAAGGAGACAAAAAATTGGGAGGCACAAGTCAAAACTGCAGTAGCCAAGATAAGGGTCCTAGAAGTTGAGATAAATAGGCTGAAGAGAGTTACAGGGGCAGTGACCAGAGAAGACACAGCATATGAAGCTGCGAGGCCGAACAGGAAGGAAGGAATTATGAATTATGCTAAGGTCATATCAGCCTGCCATGGAGGGCCAAGGAGTGAAAGGGAAGAACAGCTGGTTGCAGATGGAGAGGGTGATAGGTCGAATGCTGAGGCACAACCATGCTATCAAGAGCCACTGGAAAAATCAAGGAAGAAACTGACCACATACAGGCAGGATCCAGAGTCACAGAGGGTGAGGCAATGGGAGGAGGAAAGGGCAAAATCAGTGTTTATCCATGGGCTTAAGCAGAGAGAGAGGAAAGGACACACACTGAAAGGCAGCAGGAAGAAAGAAAGGAGATTGAGAAAATCATCACGGAAAAAGGTGAAGAGATGGACGAGATTGTAAATTTTCAGAGAATAGGGGGGTACTCGAAGGGGAGAAACCGACCAATCAAGCTGATTCTCAGGATGGAAACAGTGCGGAACAGGATCCTCCAAGAGAAACCACGATTGAAATACTTGGAAGAGTACAAGAGGGTGTTCCTAGACAGAGACAGAACACAATCAGAACGACAGCAGCTGAGGGAGAGGACAAAAAAGCGAAAGGAGCTAGGAAAAGAGACAAGGATGGAACCAGCAGAGGTCAGTCAGAGCAGAACAGAACAGCAAGGGCAAGCACACACACAACTATTCTCAGAACCATACAACCTATCACACCATCCCAACACACACTACAATCCATACCCACAGCCTCCACCCAACACTGAGCTATAGAATCCCATAGTATGCTACCTGGTCTCCCACCCTCACAGGCCCCCCAAACCACAGTGTTGGAAAGGAAACTGAAGGTATGGTACACAAACGCTGATGGAATAACAAATAAGTGGGAGGAGTGGCATGAAAGAGTCAAACAGGCATCACCGGACATCATAGCTCTTCCCGTCTCCAGGACTCAAGTCCGGCCTGCCGGTTTCCCTGAACCCCTTCATAAATGTTACTTTGCTCACACTCCAACAGCATGTCAAGTATTAAAAACCATTCGTCTCAAATCACTCCTATCAAACACGCTCACGCACGCCTGCTGGAAGTCCAAGCCCCTCGCACACAAAACCTCCTTTACCCCCTCCCTCCAACCTTTCCTAGGCCGACCCCTACCCCGCGTTCCTTCCACTACAGACTGATACACTCTTGAAGTCATTCTGTTTCTCTCCATTCTCTCTACATGTCCGAACCACCTCAACAACCCTTCCTCAGCCCTCTGTACAACAGTTTTGGTAATTCCGCACCTCCTCCTAACTTCCAAACTACGAATTCTCTGCATTATATTCACACCACACATTGCCTCAGACATGACATCTCCACTGCCTCCAGCCTTCTCCTCGCTGCAACATTCATCACCCATGCTTCACACCCATATAAGAGTGTTGGTAAAACTATTCTCTCATATATTCCCCTCTTTGCCTCCAAGGACAAAGTTCTTTGTCTCCACAGACTCCTAAGTGCACCACTCACCCTTTTCCCCTCATCAATTCTATGATTCACCTCATCCTTCATAGACCCATCCGCTGACACGTCCACTCCCAAATATCTGAATACATTCACCTCCTCCATACACTCTCCCTCCAATCTGATATCAAATCTTTCATCACCTAATATTTTTGTTATCCTCATAACCTTACTCTTTCCTGTATTCACTTTTATTTTTTCTTCTTTTGCACACCCTACCAAATTCATCCATCTCTGCAACTTCTCTTCAGAATCTCCCAAGAGCACAGTGTCATCAGCAAAGAGCAACTGTGACAACTCCCACTTTATGTGTGATTCTTTATCTTTTAACTCCATGCCTCTTGTCAAGACCCTCGCATTTACTTCTCTTACAACCCCATCTATAAATATATTAAACAACCACGGTGACATCACACATCCTTGTCTAAGGCCTACTTTTACTGGGAAATAATTTCCCTCTTTCCTATGTACTCTAACTTGAGCCTCACTATCCTCGTAAAAACTCTTCACTGCTTTCAGTAACCTACCCTCCTACACCATACACTGCAACATCTGCCACATTGCCCCCCTATCCACCCTGTCATACGCCTTTTCCAATTCCATAAATGCCACAAAGACCTCTTTAGCCTTATCTAAATACTGTACACTTATATGTTTCACTGTAAACACCTGTCCACACACCCCCTACCTTTCCAAAGCCTCCTTGTTCATCTGCTATCCTATTCTCAGTCTTACTTTTCATTCTTTCAATAATAACTTACCTTACACTTTACCAGGTATACTCACAGACTTATCCCCCTATAATTTTTGCACTCTTTTTT